TTTATTTTTTTTAAGCATTATTTAAATATATAGTTATACATGTTTAAGTATTATATATGGATAGTAAGAACTTATAAATAACCTACCTAGAAAAAACATATAGGTATGTATGATTTTTGGTTGGAAAATAGTTAACGATTTCTAATTAAAATAATGATTAATATAAAGGATTGATTGAAAAAAAAACTTTAAACCATAAAATAGAAGTTTCAATGTTTTGAGYATCCATTTTGTATTTCAAATAGACTTATTGTAAGTTTCAATTTGTTTCAAATTGAAATAGAAATTGATGTTTGATTTAGATCGCACAAAAATAATATATGTAAAATAAAATGGGTAAGTATATATAATGTTAGATCGTAGGGGTAATTTGTTTCTGTAAACATTCAGCATAACTATTACCTGATACCGCCTCGGCTTGTATCGTAATTTAGGCTTGTCGTTTCGTGACGCCATACAATGAATTGACTTGGTTGGGGTACTTTGGTTATATAGCATTTTAGCTCTATAGTGCTACCCACGTAGTAGAATTTGTCTTTCACTTGTACGCCTCTTTCGTCTGTTATTTCCAATTGAGGCACTATAAGGAAAACAAAAATACAATTCTCTTTAAAAATATTTATAGTATATTAAATAGTTTTTAGAAACATTCTATTGGTAAATTGTGGTGCAGACAAATACAAAGTATAAATAGGTTTAAGTTCTAGTATAGTGCTAGTGTATACTATAGTAAGTACCTGTATGATTATTGTATTATTTTGAAACACAAAGACAGTGTATCCTCTAGTATAGTTTACTTTCAAGTTATTATATTTGAAATAGTTTAAAATCATTTTTTTTTAAACGTATAAATATCTTACTCATCATTAATCTTCAAAATTAATTGTATTTTATACTTGTATTTAGTGATCATAATTCATAATATCCAATAATAATTTGTTTCGTTATTTAATAAACTACATAGGTAAAAATCTATTTAATCATGATTGACTATAAGTGAAATTCTTGTTTAATGTAAGCTGTACAAATACAGTTTTAATTCATAAGCTGTTTAATGATTTATAGTTTATAGTTGCTGTAMACACGCACATTAGTGAATATCAATATATCTATAATTTGATTGCGTGTGCAATATTGTATTGGTTTTATATTCATGTCAATAGTATTTTAATGTAAAACAATACGAGTTTTACATTTATTGTATTTGATATTTTTCCAGTATAAAAATAATCAATTTATAATCCTCCAATACATTTTTAATCTAGGCGATTATAAATATTAAGTATATGATTTTAATTTTTAAATAACTGTAGGTACATAAACAATTATTAAAAAAATAAGCATTTATTTAATTTTACTAAAATTGTACATAGAAATATTGAATAGTTTTTATTTAGAATGTCAATGTTAATTTTTTATTGTGTTTACTGAGATAAATATTAATAATAAAATAAAATTTGAATTTAAACATTGTACATTTTTACCAAGCTTAATTTTTACATATATTTAATATCTTGTAAGATTTACAAAAAATGTCTAATATAGTTACAAGTTAGTACCTAAATAGGTACTTCATAATAAATTAAAGCTTAATATTTTTCATACGAGTACTCGAATTATATTAAAAACTGCTATAATTTTATGATTTCATCTACAGTAGTTAGTAATATGATATTTTTTATCCTTTTAACGGAATGGTTCTATGGTGGACATGTTTAATTATGGCCTAAAATATAGTTATTTGTAACGAATGTATACCAACTAATATGGTTATACAATATTAGGAATACTAACCTATAATAGCTAGATAAACAGTGAATGCTATTGGTGGATGAGTCGATACCTGACACTCATAATGGCCTCCATCTCTTTCATTCAGATAAGATATACGGAGTTGCCAATCGTTTGGATCTTTAAATAAAAGCTCATAACGCTGATCTGTACTATACACGTGGTGACCAAATGAAAGTAGTTGCATCTTATCACCTGCCCTTCGAACCCATGACACCTGTAAACAAGAAAAAACATATTAAAATCATGCGTTATGAATTGAAAATTTCCCAAATAGGTCACTTTTTTAAATCGTACATTAACCTTAACATTTTAAGTTATAAAAAGATACGGTAACTGAGACATGTAAGAAATTGATAATTATTAGAAATGCCCGATAATTTTATATAATTCATGAAAATATATAATATAATTATTATTTTKARTTACAAACTTATTAAGACGCTTTATTATTTCAGGAAATAAATATAAATTAAATTAAATTAATCACAATGTTTTTGATACTGCTTCATATTTTGCACCTTAGGCTTACTTTTTTGTAATTTATTCTCTGTTTTATGAATTGAATTTAAATATTTAATAAGAACCACAGACTGATATCATTTTAAGGTTAGAATAAGGTAAGACCAGTCAATCTAATTAGCTATAAACAGAAACGTTTTTATATTTAATTAGGATGTCCATAATCAAAATATTCTATAATAATATCCTAGAATTCCCGTCTACTTAGGAATGTATATCAATAAATATGTTAATTTTAATAGTAATAAATAATAATWATTATGTTTTTATTTTATTTATACTGAAATCATATTTTAATACTTGGTATAGTACAATTGTATATTTGGTTGTATAGAACAACATCTTGTTATGGTTTTGAAGATGTATGTTTATAATAACAGTTATATTTTAAATAATAAATCAGAGTTTTATGTCATTWTCACACCAGTCATAATGTTAACTGTCTACTAATTTGTTATCATTGGTAGAATAATTTAATTATTTCGTGCTAAAAAAATGTAATCAGAATGTATTTTTACATGGTTATATTACCCAYGTGACCAWAAGTTATGGCTTCTCCTATGTTTCTGACTAAGCAAACCTAATTAAATAAAAATCATTTGGATTAAATTTAGAATGATTAGAGCGTTCGCATATTAGTTTAAATAAAAAATAACTAACATTTCTGAAAAATTATAACAAATAAAAAGAGTAAAAAAATAAAAAATATGAGCAAATTAAATTTACGCTACGTTAATACGTTTTTTAATTAAAAATTGAATGAAAAAAAATGTATAGAATCGTGACCATAGAATGATTTACATTTATTCAACGAACACATTTTATTTCTCATCTATAAAAAAATCACCTATTACCAATAGCCAATAAGATTTATTMAGTCGCGTCATTTGGAGTCAAGGTGGGCCCACTCTGGTGGGTTAGGTGTTAGGCACCTTGGTAAGGTGGGCAAGATCTTGTCTTTGTTTAAAAAACAGTTAATTGGGCCAGTTGTTGGTGAAAAAACATGATAGTTTTTATGGTTTTAGGGATTGACAATATTATTTAAGAATTAACATTAAGTAAATGATAATAATAGTCAAAATAATAATTATAGTATCTACAGCCGCAGACTAATGACCTAG